CTACCAGAAGCTAATGTATTTCCATCAGGAGAGAAAAAAACGGATAAGATTCCACTAGTATGACCATCCAATTTGGCTTTTTATAATCCTGTTTTGACATTCCATAGACGGATTGAGTTATCCCAACTGCCAGAAGCTAATGTATTACCATCAGGAGAGAAACAGACTTATTTAACCACATCGCTATGACCATCCAATTTGGCTTTTTATTTTCCTTTTTTGATATCCCATAGACAGATAGAGTTTGCTAAACTACAAGAAGCTAATGTATTTCCATCAGGAGAGAAACAGATTGATTTAAAATAATCATTATGACCATCTAATTAGGCTTTTTATTATTATCCTGTTCGGACATTCCAAAGACGGATAGAATTATCAAAACTACTAGATGCTAATGTATTTCCATCAGGAGAGAAACAGACTGAGTAGACAGTTCTAGTATGTCCATCAAATTAGTCTATTTATTATCTTGTTTTGACATCCCAAAGACGAACAGAGGTATCCCAACTACAAGAAGCTAATGTATTACCATCAGGAGAAAAACAGGTTGAGTTGACATTGTGAGTATGACCTTCCAATTTGGCCTGTTATTATCCTGTTGTGACATCCCAAAGACGGATGGATTTATCATAACTACCAGAAGCTAATGTATTTCCATCTGGAGAGAAACAGACTGACATAACTAAATTAGTATGACCATCTAATTTAGCTTTTTATAATCTTGTTTTGGTATCCCATAGGCGGATAGACTTATCATCACTACCAGATGCTAATGTATTTCCATCAGGTGAAATACATACCGAATTCACACAACTACTATGACCATCTAATTTATTCAATTCTTTTATTTTAATGTTTTTCCATTAACAATTAAACATCTAAGCGCCATTCAAGTTGACTCCACTAATATCTACATTGTCAAACTCAGATCCACTCAAGTTGCATCTAACAAAATTACCTCCAATTAAAGAAGCATTCTTGATCCTGATATTTTCAAAGCATTAATTCTTGAGATCTACCTTCATGTCTACTAATAAACTTAATCCATTCGACCCACTTTAAATAAATTTTCCATCTATGCTGGTAATAAGAACTAAAAACTTGATAAAATCTATGATCCCCTTATTAACCTTCTTCTTTATTAGTTCTGATCTTGTCTTTTCATAAGTCTCAGAAGAATAGTCATCTTAATTAAATTTATGATTCTAAATATTCTTCAAAACATTTGTGATTTTCTTTATTTACTTCTTTACCTCCTTTATATTTTCTTGCTTATTGATTAGAGATTCATAAAAGTTTTGATTTTTTGCCATCTAAATGAATCCAAAGATGTCTGACACTTTTTCTCTTCTAAGTATTTCAAGAATCTTCTTATAGAGAGTTTCATCTATATCCTGAAGGTAGGTTAGCATTCCAAATAAATCTGTTTTCATAAAATAAATATCTTCCTCTACTTCCCTAGAAATATGATATAAATACTTACTTTATTAATGATTTTAACAGTTCAATTCCTTCCTTTAACTTTTCTATAGAAGCATGAATATGATGGTTCCACCATTTTTTGGTCTCATCTAACTTCATCATATAAGAATTCTTTGAATCAATCCAATCATCTAAAGTTGTTCCTTCTACAATGTTGACTAATTTTTCTATATCAGCATAGGAAGATTCAGCTAGATTGGTATTTTCGTTGATGAGATTGTAGAATAATTGGTTTTCCTTTTCAATCAGATCATAAACTTGCTTTATTGATTGTGATAATCCTTCCCAAATTTTTTAGAACATCGACTCCGTTTGAGAAAGCAAGGATTTAAAAGCCCCTCTCCATTTGGTTAACTCTGATGATGATTCACCAAACTTTACTTCTGTTAATTTCTTGTTAACCATTTCTCGAAATTTTTTAACTGATACTATATATTTTGGATCCACTCCATGTATATCTTGACATTCAGCACAAAGTTTTCTCTAACATTCACATTTATGAGGAGCTCTACAGATCAACGATATTTGATTTTGAAAATGAAAAGTGCAATTCATTATATTTTATTTTAAAAATCGAATTTCTATTACTTTAAATTTAAATTATATATTGCAAAATTAATAAAAATATCTTATGAATTTTTGGAAAATAAAAGTTCAAACTTTGCGAAGATTTGGTATTTATTATAATTGAGGTATAATATGCTATTGAGAAATCATTTCAATATTTGCATTACTTGATTTTTAATAATATAAAATAACTAATAATTATATGAACAATGTAATTAATACTTAGTTTGAGTTTTATGATTGATTAATTCATTTTTCAAATCTAATAAATATTTTAAAGCATATATATTTGTAAATTTTTCAGGTAACTTTTAAAACATTGGAATATTATAGTTTAATATAAATTGTTAGTTTTCAATAGAAAATTTAAACTTTAATATTATTGTATTAAGTAACCTTATGTTAGAGAAAAGGCATATTTTTAAGAACTCTCATAAATTTAAATTTAATACAACAGGGAAAAGAGCAAACCTTTTATACTATTTGAGTTATTACTGATCTTGCTCTTCTGTTCTCCTTGATAATTTTCTTCACCTTAAAGAAGCACAGTGGGTTTTACTACCCACTATGAACCCATGCTCCTGTTTAAATAGAGGGCACATGTAGCACCTGTCTCAAACTTATACTTTGGTGCTAAAACTATCGGAACCATATTTAAAAAACACTATCAGTTGCTCTCCCAAAAACTATTTGTAACACACCAGTCGCAACCCGACAAATCTTAGGGGGGGGGAAAATGAACTTTTGTAAAAATTGACTCATTTTCTTTGTTATTGTGAATTATGTGATGTTGAAACTAGCTTTGAATTCATTTATGATGAGTAGAATATTTTTGATTTATATTTTTAGTCCAAACCCTTAGCTTTCCTGGAAAGCGAGAAATTAGTATATTTATATTCTTATATTCGATTAGTGGTTGGGTTCGATAGAATGATGTCAAAAAATAGCGAAATATTTTTTGGAGATTTTAGGGGGTAAGAGTTGGAGAGAGCTTTTTTTTGGCTCTTCAAATTAATCGTGAGTGTTAAGCGAGGTATGAAATAAACTTTTTGCTTCCATAGTCGTGTAGAGTTGAAGTACTTATTCTTTTTTCAGGGAGTAGAGATCATAATTGCGAGCGAAGTGAGGTTGATGTAATTATTTATAATTTTAATATTTATTGATTCAATTTCTTCTCTCAAAGATCTAATCTAATTCTTTTTGTTTTTTTTTATATTAATCATTTGTGTCTGTCTTTAATGATTTTACATAATATATCAAAATTTCTTTATATTTTTATTAATCCCTTATGAATGATATTAATTAAATATAAACAATTTCCTAAAAATTACTAATATTAGGACCCTACCCTTTAGCTTATAGAGAAGGGATATGTTGTTGATCACTGGATAGTGGTTAATCAATTTTAGAGATTGTCTTACATTTAATAATGTTAATACTAATTTTGTAAATTTTTTATATAATGATCCTATAAATTAAATAATCAATAGTTGATTAATAAACATTCACCTATTAATTAAATTAGGATTCAATAAACTTTATCACACAAGGAGTTAACATGCTTAGGGCAATAACTAATGCTTTGTTCATCCATTAGATTGCTTCCTCAATAATTTAAAAATTTAATTAATTATATTATCAATAATTAATTAATAAACATTCACCTATCTATTATTTATTATTTTCACCTTTAAATCATTAAGAATCATTATTTTTAGGTTTTTATAATATTGATTTATATAATATTACAATGGTCTATGCATACATTTACATAACCAAATTTAACTAAATTTTTCATTTATTAATAACCTAAGAATAATAAATGTAATATAATTAATACCTTGTTAATATAATTTGTCATCATACATAATAATTAAATGATGATATTTATTTAAAATATACTT